TTAGCTGTGTCAGTAAGAGGTACCAAAATTGATTTCTTTTGATTAATCTTTGCATTTGAGGCTAGTTCATATTTTTGTAGAATTGTTGTAAGTTTCTCCCAATCTGAGGAAGATCCTATTTCTACTGTCAAGTTGTCAGCGTATGCTGTAACTTTGAAGTAGTGGTCTGCCGCCTTTATTTCATTCAACTCTTCTTGAATTTTAAGGATAAGTGGATTCAAAGCTAGAATATATAGCAGAGGTAAGAGTGGGTCCCTCTGTCTAACTCCTCTTTCTACTCGGATTAGTTCTGATATAAGATTGGAATCTGCGATATGCGTGGTTTGAAGGTGAAATAAACTCTTGATGATATTAATGAACTTGGTGTCAAAATTCATCCTTTCTAATACTAGAAAAATAAAATTATGACTTATCTGATCAAAGGCCTTTTGCTAATCAAGCAGCAGCAACCAGTGTGATGCTGACTAGTCTTCTTGGTTTCTCATAATAGTAATAATGTCTAATGCTGCATCTGTAATTGATCTTCTCTTTATATATGCCTGTTGTGATGAACCGATAATCGATTTGCAGATGATATTAATTCTATTGGCCAGGATTTTTATAAATATTTTAACATCACAGTTGGTAAGTGAAATTGGGCACCAGTTGTCTATGTTTTCTAGGTTATCTGATTTTTTTGGAATCAGAATAATGATGCTCTTGGTTCATGATCTGGGTATTAGACTATTTTCTAGCTGATAATTGAAAAGACCTGTAAATATTATAACTATTTCCTCTTTGATTCCCTTATAGAACTCATATGTAAGGCTGTCTGAACCCAGAGACTTGTTATTTGGAAGCTGGTTTAAACCCTCATTAACTTCCTCTTCAGAAATTGAGCCTACTAGCATTCTGGTTTGACTCTCTGAAACTTGTGCTAAGCCTTGAGTGAAGAGATTTGCAGCAGTTATGCAGTTGTTTTCTGCTTTGTAGATATCTTAATAGATGTTCTTCATGTATTGTAACTTGTCAACTGGATTGTTTATTTGATTGTGTTCAGAGATTTGAATTTTGTCGCTTGCTGAAATATTACTCCTGGCTTTGTAACATGAGTAGAAGAATTTTGTGGATTTTTCTCCTTTTTCGATCCACTTCACATTTGATCTAGTCTGTCATTTGTCAGAAAGAGTTTGAAGTTCCTCTTGTAGCTGCACATTAATATGTTCTCTTAGAGCTAGAAGATGCTCTGAGTTTTCTATGCTAGATGCCTCATTGTTAATTTTAGTTAATCTTTTTTGCAGCTTCTGAATTCTTTTTTCTGGTGAAGGTTGTAATTTAAAGGCTCTGATTATGGATTGTATTCTACATTTATGTAGATCCCATCTTGAGAAGTTTGAAATACTTTGTATCTCTTCAATTACTTCTGCTTTGAGTAGTTGATTTTGCCAGCTATTTTTATCAAATCTCCATTGTTTTGCCTTAGGTTTTTCTGTATTCAACTGCAGTTCACATTCTACTAGCAAAGGTGCCTGTAATTTGCATCAATAAAAATATAATCCAATCTTGTGGCCATTACGTGGCCTCCTCGTGTATTCTGATGATAAGTTATAAAAGGCTTTGTGCAGGTTGTAACTGCTATGGTATCAATGTTAAATTTGAAAGCAATTCTCTTGTAGGATCACTTGTTGGTGAAGACTAACTTATTCTATTTTCCTGTGAGTTAAGGTTTGTATTGAAGTCTCCCGCAAGGATAGTTATGCACCCTTTATCTGTTTCCAGAAACCAACTATTAAAGAAGTTAACTCTTTCTGCTACACTTGGAGGTGTATATATATTTATAAGATAGAACTTTTGGTGTCTGTAGATAATGCTTGCTTTGGTTATATAGCCATTATATGATTCATTTGTGTTGGATAAAGTGATGTTTGAATTCCTAGCTAAGATTGTGGTTTTAGAGGACCAGTATGAACTATATTCCCATTGTTGTTGTAAAAAGTTTCTTGTATTACCATTTTCTAAATTAGTTTCTTGGAGCATAATTAAATCTAAGTGATATGATTTCAATAATGTAAGTGTTCTATGTGCTTTTTCTAAATTGTTTAATCCTTTAACATTTAAAGTTGTAATTTTTAGTTTGTTAACTATAAGATAAATTAGAGTTGGTATGTGTATGCTAAAAGCATAATTTAAGGTCTATTTGCCTTAGAACCAGGGTATGGCCCTAACCTAGGTTTGTTTGTAGCTGTAATTGACTTTCTGGAATGGTTTTTGGTTTTCCTTTTGGAGGTAACCAATGTAAACCCTTTTGTATCGGTATTGTTGACTTCGCTTTTTGTACCATCATTTTTGGTATAAAAGGATGCTAATGGATCTTCTACTATATTCTCTTGACTAATCTTATTATCAGTCTTGATGTGGGATAATTCTGTTTCTGGTTTGACTTCTGCTTTGGACGAGACTAGGATAGTGATTGGCGTCGTAATCATGTGATGCTAATTGTTACATGATACAATATATAAAAATTAACAATTAGATTGTTGATTTTTATATATTTTACCACATGACAATTAGCATCACATGATTACAGCACCAATTACTAGACTAGGGTTTCTGCTACTGCAGCCACCTGTGTTTCTACTTCATTTTCTTTAGGTGGGTCAGAAGTTTCTGCCAACATCTCTGTTTGAGTTTCTGCTTCAACCTCTTTATCTAACACCATACTGTTTGTGTCTGAATCTTTTGCTGTTGTATCAATAAACATAATATTCTCTGATTCTTTATTATATGGATTTTCAGTACTCAATGCCATTTGAGAATGTCTCTGATTTTGTGCTTGTTTCTATTCTCGTGCTCTTTGCAATTTTCTTTCTTTCTGTATTTTTCTTAACACAACTGATGTCTGGTATTCTTGATATTCTTTTTTGATATGGCCTGTTTTGTCACAAAAGTAGCACACCTTTGGGACTTCTTTCCAATCAGTTGTAACTTTTTGGCTCCAAATATGTGTAAACCTGTGTATTCTCGTTGTCAGATCTGGATCGTCTGTTGTTTCAAAAATCACCACCCATTGGTCTGTAAGTACTGATGTCCCTTTATACACCAATGGTTTAATGGAGAAAATATTGCCAATATTTTTAAAAGCTTCTTCGATTTGCTCTGAAATAAAATCCTTTTTGCCCATAGGCATATTTCGAAGCCGCACTGATAAAAAGCTTCGTCTAATATTTACTGGAATATACCCTTGGAGAGTTTGTTTAAAGATTACAAGACCTTCTGCTGTATAAAACTGCTGCTTCTCTTCGTCTGTAAAGATGACCTCCAAATAGGATCTTCGGTTTCTTGTAAAGATTGGTTTGGCTGCAATAAGGTCTTCACTGATTACAGTTGCCATTGCTTCCACAATATCAGAAGTGGAAATATTTTCTAAGTTGTGTAGCTTAAAGATTAGAGCATTTTCGTTTTTAGTATAAATTCTCTTCCTTGGAGAGTAGGTTAAGAAAGTTGCTTTGCCTCGTTCGAGCTTAGAAAACAGACTTGACTATTGTTTGGGTTCTGTTTGTTTATTGACTTTATTTAATTGGTTGCTTATGTGTTTGTTCACGTGTTTGTTGTTGTTAACTTTATTGGGCACGTGTGTTGTTTGTTTTGCCGAGTCTTGAAACATGTCATTTGTTTGGGTAAACCAGCTGTTTCCTTCTTCTGCCACTTTGGTTTTCTCAACTTTGTTTTCTGCTGTATTTTTCTGCATACTACTACTGCTTGCAATGTCAACTATGTTGTCTAAGTTCTGGCCTACTGTTTGGAGCAACTCCTTGTTTTCTGCATCTTTATAGCTTGTTCCCCAAATTTCGGCTAAATTTTCTTCTTCAGTAGCTGAAGTTCTTGCCTTTTTATTTTTTCTGTTGAACCCTAAGTTATCTATACTAGATGTTTCCATACTATCTTGCTTACATTTCTTGTATGTAAGGGCCTCAGCCCCTGAAGTACCTTGTTGTTTTTGTATAATAAGTGGTGAGTTTTGTGTAGTAATTTTGTTATTACCAAATTTCCGGAGGAGAACCAGAAAGAGTTTTGTAATTAGTAATCATGACAATTTCAATATAAACTAACCATATATTGTGGTATTAGAATATTAAGTTTGTAACAAAATTGTTTATAATAATTTACCAATGCAAACTAACTAAAATTTAATCACATATTATATAATCACTAGAATAGTGAGTAAGTTTTGTAACAAATTTTGTTTGCAGTAGCATGCTTAGAATTATAATAATTTTAATATAAGTTAAATTATTTTATTTAAAATAGTGAATAAATTCTATAATAGAATTTTCAGTAGCTTATGAATAAATATTAATTTATATTAAACACTTACTGTGGTGGCCGAAATAGTGAGTAATTTTTCTATAAAAGAATTATTTATATGAATCACATCAATTTCAATGTGAACTAATATATGAAATAACAAGTTTTGTGATGGAATTTTTAAGTAACTAATTATGATAGAAATCACAACAATTCTAATACAAACTAACATATTTTACCACATATTATAATTACTAGAATAGTAAGTTTGTAACAAATTATTTGTAGTAACTTATAATAGAAATCATGATAGTTCTAATACAAACTAAATAATTTTCATCAAATCTTAATAGTGACTAAAATAGTAAGTAATTTTTATAATACTGTAAAATAGTGTTCCAATTGTTAAAATTTTACCAACTAGTTAGTTGCCAACTAACCGGTTATGTATATTACGTGATATTTTTAGATATTAGCCAATCAAATCTAAGAAATTATTCTGAATTATTCTGAATAAGCAGAATATCTCAGAATTATATTAATTGAATGATTAGTTGGTTAGTTGTTTAAAAATTTTTTAAATTGATTAGTTGGAAAGTTGTCAACTAGTTGGTTTTTCAACTAATGATTTGAAACACTACTGTAGAATTATTTATAGTAACTTATGATAAGAATTATGACAATTTTTAATACAAACTATTACAAACTTAACTATGCATTATGTTTACTAGAATAGTGAATAAGTTATATAACAGAGCACTGTTTATATTAATTCATGATAAAAAACATGATAATTCAATTATACAAAATTATTTTTAAAAATCATATTAGAAAAAAGAACAAAAATTACAATTTTTTTAAACTAAATTTTTTTATATAAATTAATTTAGAATAAGATTAGAATCTTTTTTTACTTAAGATACAAAAGTAGTTGTGTTAATAAAATTTACAGTATAGCTTTTTAAAGTTTGTATTTTTTTATAATCTATTATAAGATTTATAATATAAAAATTAATTTTTTGAAGATCTTTTGTTTTGTCGATTTCATTTCTTTTTTCAGCATCTAGTTTATATATTCGGCAAGTATTTTGGAATTGCAAAATTTTTGTATAAAACCCTTCGAAATAACTATATTATATGATTTGTTTTAATGAAAAGAGTTTAAAAAATTTTGTTAAATATGAAAATTAATTTTGCTGCCTAAATGCTATAATTACTTTTTATTAAGATAAGCAATTTAGGCACACATGTATAATTAAAATATAACATGTCTTAACCAGAATAGAAAGTAAGTTCTGTAATAGCCTTCTTAGTAACTCTGAATAAATCAAGTTAATTAAATATATATTATATATAGTTACCAAAATAGTGAGTAAGTTCTATAATAAAATTTTTTAAATAACTTATAAAAGAAATCATGCCAATTTTTATACATAGACTAACTCACCTTAATACTAAAATAGCAAATAACTACTGTAATAAAATTATTTATAGTACTTAATATATGACAAAATATATGACAATTCTAATATAAACTAACTACATATTGTAATTACCAAAATAACAAGTACTATAAAAGAATTGTTTACAATAAAAATTATAGCAATTTTAATTGCATATTATAGTTATTGGAATAGTAAATAATTTTATATAATAGAATTTTGGTTACAATAATATAATAAAAATTATGAAAATTCTAATAAATTTTATTTAACCAGAACAGTAAGTCCTGTAACAAAATTTTTTAGTAATCTATGAATAAATGTTAATCTTATTGTAAACTAATCTACTACAAGACAGTAACTAATAAAAATTATGACAATTATAAGACAAACTAACTCAAACTTATCTATATATTATAGTCACTAAAATAGCAGATAAGTTCTGTAGTAGCTTTTTTTACTATAAATCATAATAAAAAAGTTATAATTCTAATCTAATTTTAACTACATACTGTAGTCACAATAGGTATTATAATTATTCTGATATAAACTAACTTACTTTAACCACATATTGTGGTTACTGGAATATTACTAACTACTATATATAATTGAGTTTCTAATAAAATTATCGTGATTTCTAATAAATATGTAGATGAAATTAATATAATTTTATTATGAGTTAATGAAAAATTCTGTTACAAAAATTACTTGATAGATAAAATGATAAATAAATAAATAATATAAAATAAAATATATTGTAATACGAAACAATATAAAATAGTATAGAAAATAAGACACTAAGTTTGCTACTTAATTATATTATAAAAAATTAAAATTTTATATATAATCTGAAGTGTATAAAAATCTTTACTAAGCTACAAAATAAATACAAATCAATTTTTTATCATCATTAATACATTCCTGGTATAATTAATTATAATATGTTCAACCTTATTGTTTTAGTTATAGTTATGATACTATTTTTTTTTTTGCATCTGGGTACAAAATCAGATTATCTATTTTAAAAACTACAGATAAGGATATCTGAGAATTAAACGAATTTGAGGATCAATTTGGATAGTTCAGATATCAGATTGAATCTCTACCTGTATATACTATGCTTTTATAGGTTAAAAGTTCTTATTAGCTTGGAATTAGGTTATGGTTAAAGAGTTTAAATAGGTATTCTTGTAGTTAAGATACAGGTATAGCAGATAGTATAGAACCTATTTAAATTAAACATCAAAAGTATATATGTAGCTTGATATACTTTTATTAAAACTAAAATTAAACTTCTAATAATAAACTTTCTAGATCTAAGAGACCCTCTTAATACAAAAAATAATAAAAATAAACAACAGTTGCTTTTCTGTACTGCAATAAGTAATAAACTTTAAACTTATTAGCAAGTAGTATATAAGAACTACCTTAATAATAGATACTGCAGAGGTGTAGCATCTTAGTAAAGTGGTCTAGTCATCACTTTCTTCAAATAGTAAAGATATAGGGACAACATTTTCAAAAAGAAAAGAAATATGTTTACTGATGATCTTTATTGGTTGGCCTATAGATAACCTAAGTGCTTTAGGCACTAGTAATACGATTCTAGGTAGCTATAATCTATACTACAAGACCAGAGATCAAAGTCTGTTTAGGAAGTTCTGAGTAGGATATAGCAGTGATCTTTGATAGTACTACAGAAAGGCTAAATTTGAACCAGGGTCTAAGATCAGAGAACCGAGTGACCAGGTTCTTAAGTGGGGGATGTACTAGCTGAATTGCCAAGTATTGAATGCATGCATTAGAGAAAAAGATCATATGCTCTAAAAGTATAGACCAAGGAGAGGGTGACTATGAGGCACCTAAAGCCTAGGCAGACTAACCCTTCCAGGTTGCTGGCTGGAAGTAAGAGAGAGACCAATAGAGAATTCAGATAAAAAGATAGTTAAAACATGGGTACCAAAGTTGTTGTAAATTTTATAAGAGCAGGATTAAGTAATGGATGACTAATTAGAAAGGTTGGGCTTAAGATACAGATTGTGTTATAGCAGCACCCAAAAGGTAGTATGAATACAATAGTAGCAGACAATATGTAATAATTGGGAAAAATTACCAAATATGCAGGTGAGTGCATATATGGGATATACTCTATTCTGTTAGGTTTACTACAAAGATAAATGCCTTCTGTTGTTGGCTTAAGTCTTAGGGTCTTAAACAGTAAATTACTTCTTATAGAAGTATATTAGAAGGAAACATGTAAAGTTGATTAAAGCAAGAAAGTTTAAAATAGATAGCTTTCTAGTTAGGCTATAGGTATGGCACCTAATATAGAACCCCTAGCATAGCACTAATGCTTTAAACAGACTACTTAATTAGGCAATCAAAAATTGTATATGTAACTAGTTGTACTCTTGTAATACTGATATAATATATAAAGCTAGTATTAAAATTAACTAACACTAGCCTACCCACTTGAACTAATAAAGTGCCAAAGATCTAAATAGTTATAATAATAATAATAGATACTGTTTTACTGTTTTATTTTTTTTTTTGGTTTTACTAAGTATTGTATTTTAAATAAAAGAAATTTATTTAGAAATTTTTGGTATAAGTAATTATCAGAAAGAGTTTTGATAATACTTTTTTTTAATTAAAATTTGATACTAGTTTTGTACCTACTTTATTATAAAGTTTGGTAATACTCTAGTATATTTTATTAATAGATTTTTTTTTTTACTCTATGCTAATTTTATAGTTTAAAGTAATTATACAATTATTTATTTGTTTATTCACTTTTTATTATAGCTATTTATTTGTTGTTTATTGTATTATATATTTTATATTTTCTCTTTTTAGTATATCAGCTATATTTATTTTTTTTGTTTTTTTATCTTTTTTTTACTTGTATTTTGATTGTTTGTTTAGATTTAATATATTATTTCTTTTTTATTTATTATTTTTTTTACAGAATTACTTTATATCACCTACGGCGATCATCGCCAATGACATTACTACTATATAAATAATATAAATTAGATGACCATAATTAATTCAGCCCTGCCTTTGTCATTGTATATCAAATTGAAGTTATAATGCAAATAAATTCGTCATCAATTCAGTCTGGTATTTATTAATCACAAGTATACTAGATCAGATTTATAGTATAACTAGGACCAACAAAATTTAATCTGTATGAAATTGTTTACATCGCTGCATCATTTAAATACACCTAGTTCTTTCACATTTGTTATCTCCTTTTTTTGTATTAGTTTTCATATATTATATTATCTTTTCTTTCAATCAATCTTGGTTGTTCTTTATACATTACCTTTTTTTTGATCTTGGTTGTTCTTTACATGTATCTTTTTTTGCAATCAACCTTATTGTTATCTTTTTTTGCGATTAACCTTGTTGTTCTTTATATGCTACCAATCAACCTTGTTGTTCTTTATCCAAATATTGCTTATTACCTTAGTACCCTATATAGAGAACTCAAAGATAAACAACTTAGTTACTTTTAAATATCATCATCTACAATCCTTTCTGATTAGAAAATCTACAATTTGATTATGGAATCTGAATATCAAAATGAATCGTCAATATCTCCTGTAGATAATAGATTAAACTACAATTTGATTATGGAGTCTCAAGATCAAAATGAATCGTCAACATCTCTTGTGAATAATGGATTAAGCTACAATTTGATTATGGAGTCTTATAAATCGGCAATATCTTTTGTGGATAATGCAAATAGCATGAATAAGAACAATATAATTAAAAATAAAACTACACTAGATATAAATAATACTTTTGATGACTGGAAAGAAGTTGATATTGTCGTTAGTAGATTTGCGAAAGAAAATAGGTTTGTGGCAATCAAATACCATTTAGAACTTGATACTATCGATAAAACAATTATTCACTGTTGTATATACAAATATTGGAAGGCTAGTGTTTATAGCCCAAAGAAAGTGGAGAATATTGCTACACATTGCGATAGTGATTTAGTTAAAACAAATTGTCAATAGCAAGCAAGCTTCAATTTTGGAAAGCATGCAACTAAAATACACCTTACCCAAATTATCAATAAACACAATTATCTATATAATTCAGCAACTATAGAGATGGTACCTAAAAATTTACGATTTCTACAAACAATTATAAACAAAATCAAGCATTATATTACCAATGGTCACTTAAACGCTAGACAGCAATACAACCTTTTTCTCAAAGAATTTCCTAAATACAATATAAAAAAAAACCTTTATATAACGCAATTCAAAGATTCTGGGAAGTTAGAATACATAATGAATCTGATATAGCTACAATGTTTCTATATTTTATGAAAAACGTGAAAAAGATCCTGAGTACTTTGTTGCAACTCGATTGAAAGGATCATCTAACGAACTCACTGGGCTTTTTTGGATAGCAAGCAAACAATGCAATGAGCTTTGGCCAAAATATCATGACGTTGCAATACATGACAATATAGCAAAGACAAACAGATATGAAATGGCGCTTAGCATTTTTGTTAGCATTGATAGTAACTTTAAAATGAAAATACTTGCCCAGGATTTAATAAAATATGAGATATTTGCTGATTATAACTGGATATTACAATGTATATTAGAAGCTACTGATAATCTCTCACCTAGAGTATTATTCACTGATAGCAATCTAGCAATGTTAGCTGCTGTACAGGTAGAGTTGTTAAATAGTTAATTATACTATTATTTTAAAATCAGTTAAAAAGTCACTTATAGTAATTTTTGGTTTTTTATTAATACTAATATAGGTCGTTTATCTACAAACCCACTATCTATTATATATTTATCATATTACAGAAAATGTAAAAAAGCAGGCTAAATCCAAATTGTATAGAGACATGATAAATAATTTTATTGGAGATTTTTATTATATGCGCAATAGTTACAACTAGTATTAATTCGAATCTGAGTATAAAAAAATAATTACAAAATATGAATTGTGTCAAAATTACCTCAAAAAAAAGCTTTATCCTAATTGTGAATCGTGGGCAAGATATTCAATTGCAAAAATATTTACAGCAGGGGTTGAGTCAACCCAACGAGTAGAATATATTAATAGTGTTCTGAAAATACTTCTTGATCGAGGAATGCTATTAAAGAAGTTAGTAAATGTAATTGAGAATGAATTAGATAAAGAGGCGCAATATAGTCATCTTAATGATTACTATGGTTCAAACGGTTTTCTATCGGCCTACAACACTATTAATTCTTCTTTAAAAGAATACTTGGCACCTATTCTGTTATCTTTTCAAAGAGCACAAATAAAATATACATTATTGTACCAAGGTTCATTAATTGCAATAGATGAGGTAAAGTTCTATATATAGTTAAAAATTTTAATGATAGTTAATATTTGCTAACAAATTATATTCATACTGAAAAGTTAAAGAACTAGAAAATGATTTCGAAGATGCAATTGAACACATGTACGATATATTACAAGTAAGGTTGCAAGAACTTTTATCAAATATAGATAACAATGAAATTCAAGAGTTATGGGAAATTAGTTATATTACAGCATTATCCAAACTACATTATGTTGCAATTCTCTTTGATTCAACAATACTTTGTATATACATATATATTATTAATTAAGAAATGCCGTGCTGACATCAGTATCAAGTTCTTTTTTAATCAGATAAAGCAATATTCCACATGGGTTTCTGCTGGTTCGAATCTATTCTATCTAAAATATCAAGCTATATTACAATTGCTCAAGAAGTTAAAACTCATACTACTAAATCTTTGCATTATATTAATCAAATTCGAATAAATAATATATATACTTCAACTGTTTAAAAAAAATATTAAGTTTAGTACTACTATGTTCATTACAAAAACTAGCGTTCAAGTTGCTATGGCAGAAGGTGTAACATCTAAACTAACAGAACTTCTTACAAAATTTATAATAAAATATCGGCACAATACTGGGTTAAATATACAAGAATTTCAATCTACATCATAGTTAAATATTGAAGTTAGTGGATCATTGTCTAATTTCAAGTAATCTTCCTGAAATAACAAATCCAGAATACATAAACCAAGAGGAAATAGCCAGGGCGGCCCCCCAAAGTACTGTTACACGATGAACGTACCACAGCCGCAGCCGCAGCAAATTGATTTCCACCAATCAAATAACATTACGATTTACAATGCCGATAATCGAATAATTCTGTAATTAGACAGTTTTTTGCTAAAACGAAGATAGAAAAGGGGCTCTTACGACTGAATTTTATTAACATCCAAAAACACTCCATTGCTATACTGGCGAGGCTTTATAAGATTATATTTATTATTTGTTTTAATTTATTTAAATTTATTAATACAATATTATATTTTCATTTTA